CATTCGATATTGTACAATCTATTAGTCATTAATGTGCAATCTGTATAACCATAATGTGCAATCGCAATACATATATATATATATATATATATATTTATATAGTTCAGTCATTTCAGTTGTATTGATTATTTTTAAAAAATAAATCAGACAATAAACTGAAATACCTGTGAATTTAAAAGTAAAAACAATTTATCGAACCGAAATATAAAATTTCGAATCGAAAACTCTAATTCGGTCGGTTTCGCTTTCGCTATCTATTGTGAAATATGCTAGTAGCGATAAATTGTAGCGTCTTATTTTATGAAATGTAACGTGTTGTTTTATATAGTGCAACGTGACGATCTTCCCTAATATCTGATTTAGTCGTGATGAAGTGCAACTTGTTGTTTTGTAAAGTGCAATATGTTGTTTTATAAAGTGCAATGTGACTGTGTATAATGTGAACTGCTGTAATGTTGGTACATTAGCATGCTTAAGTTTTGTGTAGATAAATGATGTCATTGATGTTAAAGTATTATGTATATCCATTTTTTTTAGATTTATGATGTGTGGTATTCTTGGCGGTAGTTGTTGACGTTAATCGTGCAGTAAGACGATAGAGTGCAACGTGTTGTTTTATAATGTGCAACGCGTTGTTTTATAAAGTGCATTTTGCAGATATATAAAGTGCACTACTTTATATGATCACATATAAATTATGTGTATTTGAAAATTATATTTTAGTAGATATAATTATAAATTAAATTAACCTAAATAATTGAAATCGACTGTTATTTATTATTACATAAGTATATTTATTATTGTTTTTATTATTTTTGTGCAAATTCAACCTGAATTTGAACCGAAATAATTGAGTTATTTTGTTGGTTAATCAAAATAACCTAAATAATCAAAATATATTAATTATATTTTATATTATGAAAATTATATTAATTATGTTACTAGATTTTTGTAATATTATATATATATTTATATATATTTGTATGTTTGTTTCGACTGATACATTGCAATCGGTTAGTCACTAATGTGCAAGCTGTCTACCACTAATGTGCAATCGAGAGACAAATATTTTTTTATAAAAATATATTCATGTTTTAATAATTTTTTATTTAAATATAACGTGTTATATAAATAGTCGAAATAATTTATTATCTATAATAAATAAGAAAATATAAAAAATTGCATTTGATTTTTTTTTTTTTGAGTTTGTTGCGCACAATGTTACGATAATGTGCATTTCATTTTCACAGATTCTAATGTGCACACAGTGTAGCATTATTGTGCAGTCTGTAGAGCGATTATTTTTTATTTTAATTTTAATTTTAAAAACTTTAATTGTGAATATTTTAAAATTTAAAGTTGAAATCGAACTGAACATTTAAATGTGAAAACATATAAATATGAGAAATTTTGATTTTTCAAGTAGTGCCATTTTTAGTCTGTGCGGTTGAAAATATTATCTTGTATTCTCCAACATAATAATTAATTGGTGTGCATCATCATTGTCAATATTGTGCATTATGTTTAATAATAATGTTTATGGAGTAAGATATGATTAGATAATGTTCATTTATTAAGTTTTTAGAAACTTCCGATTAGCCCTATGACCTAAATTGCAATTTAATCAAACTTTCAAGATTGCAAATAGATACAAGTAAATTATCTAATTTTCATAATGAAGCCCCCAAACCCAAATTCAGATCTAGCTCCATTCTGCACATCCTTTTCCATGAATACGACACTAACAACTCATCACCAAAATCCAAGTTGCAGTATCCGACTCAACCCTTGTCGCTGGTCGATTCTCGTCGGCCGCTGCCGACTGAACCCGAAGATGGTGCCTCTGCTCCCGTTTCTATGGTGTCTGGTCATCTGCTACCCCTGAAGAGATGGTGCCTCTGCTGACGGAGACGTTGAGGGAGTCGATGCGGCGGGGGACGGTTACGGCGGAGCTGCGGCGTCTGTCAAGTCTTGTATGTTGTGCCGCCGTTGTCGTGGCCGATGACCTGGAGTAATTAAAGTCGACGGCGAGATGGGGAGGGGGGGTGGCAGGAGGTGGGAGAGGTAGCTAGAAACGAGGTGACGGTCGAAGGTGTCGGGAGGCGGTGGCGGAGACCGACGGAGCGGCGGTTGCGGTGGGCAGAGCTCCGTTCGTTTACCTGCGATTACGCCGTGCATCTGTGTGTGTCGGGGGTGAGATGTGTGTGTGTGTGAGAGAGAGAGAAATAGTCAATTACAGATAGAGATGAGATGTGAAGTGGGGTCCACGTTTGGGTTGGTGTCCGTTGGTGGCATGCGTCCCAATTTTTTTGTGTGTGGAAAATTACTGTATTGCCCTTAATGAAGTCATAAATTTGACTTTTTTTTAGCTGTTGGATCATCCGATCCGATGACTAAGATGCATTCTTATTTCTTTCATTAAGTACATTTCTCACTTGAACCCAACCCTATACATATATATATATATATTTATATATATATATTACTGAACACATTCTTATATACAAAGAGACGTGTTTATATTCTCTACAATTATATAAAAAAATTATCAAGTAATACTAGTGGAAAGCAAAACAATACACAATACATTTTTGAATTTTATCAGGTGCCAATGGTAAAAATACAGAATAAAATATTTTTTACTTTTTATTAAAGTGTACAATTCATAAATTATTGAATTATTATTTTTCACTTTGATGTATATATATACACACACGTTATTGTGTTTTATTATAGTATAAAGATTATAATTAAACCCAATAAATATTTAAATTAAGATATGTTTAATTATCTATATTAATCATATCGGGCTTGAAAATAATTTTTATATACTAATCATATTCGCCTTTCAAAAATTCGGTTTCTAATTTTAGAATAATATTGAGCTTCTAAATTAATGGACTTTCAAAATTTGACAATACATATAAATACATTGGGCAAATTATTTTGGTTGTATTACTATAAATTATATTAAGTAGACCTAGTTTGATGAATCATTTCTTTTATTGCAAACGACCCACAAACAGAGAGCCCAAATGCAATTCAGTTAAAAAAAGGATCGAACGGTTGACAATAAGTCAACCGATACGTGCGAGATCGATCCTATAAATAGCATTTGGTCGGCATTAGGTTTGGGCTTGCCATTTGCGCCGCTTCACTCTTTCCTTTTCTCACGTTTCATCTTTGAAATTTTCGATGCTTGTCGAATTTAAGACATGAAATTCGGTTTTCTTACTTAGTTATGTTTTCTAGTTCAAGTATCATTTCCGATTTTGAATTAGCACACTGAAATTCTGTGATTAGTTAATATATTTATAGTTTTATTCGGTATTATTTATTCCTATTTTTTTAAGAATTATAACTATTTGATTTCATATTTTTGTACGATTTTTGTTTAGATCGTTTTCAGATTTCAAAAAAATGCAAAGTTTCGTGTGCGATCTTCATTTTTCAGACAGAAAATGCATTTTTTGTTAAAAAATTTCTCATTTTAACTTGACTTTGATACCCAGATTGATTTTTTTGTGTTCTATCTGCAATTTTGATAGTGAAAAGTCGATTTTTGTAAAAAAGAAAAAAAAAAACGTATTAGATTGTATTTTATACAAAGATTCAACCTTTTGTATTCGACTTGAAATTTTCACACTGAAATTCAGAAGTCATGCGATTTCATTGTATTTGTTCTACAAATTTTATATTATTTTTTTCTTATGAAAACAGATCAAAAGGGATCTACTTGACGACATGCATGATTGTTTTTCGATGAAATCCATCAACAAATCCGTATGAGGGATTGTTAATTTAAAATTACATTCAGATGAACGAAATTTTAAGAACTTAATGGAATCAAACAAATCAATTTAGGCAGCATTTAATGCTGCTCGAATTTTTTGAAAAAAAAAACCTACTAAAAATAGTAGGTAATTAATGTTGACTGAAATTTGACCAAGTTTGACCTACTATTTTTGAAAAAAAAAAAATTATCCTTATATTATTATATATCCCTCTACATCTTAATAAAGGGGTAGTTGGGGTGCTTTCTAACAGCCACGTGTACACCTTAAACTCTCAGGGGCTGTTATATGCGTTTTGGTTTTTTATTTTTGGGCCTTTTTTTTCTGAATATTATTTTGGGCCTTTATTGAGGCTATTTTGTTTTCTTTGTCATTTGCACCTTAATTAAAGAAAGGGAAATTTTTATTTATACTATGTGATTTTAAAGTAATTGCAACTTTACCATAGAAGTTGAAATAATTATGTCTCTACCTAAAAGACCTTATTTATCTTTATTAATGCCTAAAGTCAGTTACCATATCCTTCCCACCTCCATCCCCCATTTTATGGACATGATTAAGAGAGAGAAATGAAAATAAATAACTGACTCATGTAATTCCTTAATTCGCGCAACTTGAATTCCTTAATTCACGCAGCTGTCAGGTGGTATATATTGGGTTTATGTTAGTATATTTTCAGTATATGTTGCAATGAAAAACATGTTTTCTATCAAAAAATTATGTTTTCTAACAATTTTTTATTTTATATTTTTTGTTTTATCTTTGATCATTCAGTAAATGGGGTTTTTAGTTTTTGAATGGTTTATATATCGTTTTTTTTAATGGTATATATATCGTTTCTTAATGGTATATATATCTTTTTTTTTAATATTGCTCCTTTGAGAGTATACCGAAAATATACTGAACATATACTGACTATAAACCTTGACTATAAATCTTTAACGGTAGAATATACCGAAAATATACTGACTATAAACCCATACTATAAAATTTTTAACTATTACATACTGTCAAACTTCTTCCTGTTAATGTCATAAGAAGATAAGAAATGGAAACAACATAACATGACTAGTAATATATTGAAAATAAACCATACAATTTTCATTGAACAATACAAACAAGAAAAAAAATACAACATATACAGTCTGCCTAGCTGGAGATTATGAACAGTTTTACACAACAAGCAGAACCTGATTTAGCAAAACCATGAAAGCCAATAAAACAACAAATCCTGAAAAGAACCTGTACATTGCAGTAAATTCAATTGTATGCTGTAAATTCAATTGTTCCTCATTAACACTCAAGAACTGTGAAAGAAGGCTAATTCAACATATGACTCAATCAGAAACCCCAAAATCAGAAAAAAAAAAAAATCCAAAATCAAGAAACAAAAATTGCCTTATTAATCAAGAAACCCCAAATTTGCCCTGATTCCCCAAATCAATTGACAGCTTTCTCACACTACTCAAACTCCTTCACCAATTTTGCATCACAAAAACCTACCAAGAACTTCGCCACCGCCTCCAAGAACAACGCCGGAGGCTCGTCAAATCCACCTCTCCGCCGTCGCGGCCGCTGTCACCACGAACGTTAACCGCCGTCGTTCCTTCTCTCCCCCATTGATTTTTTGCCTTTTTTATACAACTTTTAAAGCAATTCTAAAAAAAACATGGGGATACAAAGAAGAAGTTGAGTTGACGGAAGTGGGATTGAGACGTGGGTCGGTTGTGGAGAATGAATGCATGAAAAGTGGAATTAGTTTTTTTATTTGGTAACTACTTCCAATAAGTTAGAGTTAATTAATGATAATATATTTATGTTTCTTAATAGATGTCTCGTAACTTTGCAAATAAATTTGTAAAATATAGTATACTTGCTAATAGTTATAATTGGCTGCTAATAGTGTAAAAAAAATGCTGTGGGGTCGTGGGGGGTGTAATTTCCTCTTAAGGAATTTACACTCCATACAATCAGCAACTACATAATATCAGCTTTCTACTGATTATGCCTGTATTAGGATTTAATGCCCATTGTTTATAGAGGAATTTACACTCCATACAATCATATATATTTTATATTACATATTTATATCCAATTAATATTTATTTGCAAAAATATAAAATCATTCCAACATATTTGCTCCTTTCTCTCTCTCTCTCTCTCGTTTTGTTTTCTTTTTTTTTTTCGATCTCTTCCTTTTGGTTCGAGTCTTTTTGTGTTTTTCTTGGGTTTCATCTCTAGCCTACCCCGACTTGCTTGGGACTAAAAGCTATGTTGTATATTTGCACATATACCAGATTTTATAAGTTTATTAACTAGGATTTAAATATGAAAAATGAATCAGTTATGAATTAATTGAGATAATTAATAAATTTTTCTTTTCTTTTCCCTTTTTCTTTTCCTCTTCCTCTTTCTTTTCTTCTTATTTCCCGTCACTTTTCTTTTTCTCTTCCTCTACTTTTCCTCCTTCGCAGATCTCCATTTCTTCTTCTTCAAATTCACCCTCTTCACTGCAAATTTACTTCTAAAAATTCCTCTTTTAATTTTCTTCCATTTTCAACTACTCAATTACACCTGGCTGAAATTGGCTATTGACGGCGATGGGAATGGGCGCCGTCGGCTCAGGGGTCGGCGATTTGGGGTGGTGTCGGAGAGGTGGCGTTCTGCCTCCCCGTCAAGGTGCGGTCGTTGCTTCGCGGCTGCGACGGCGAGGACTGCTGGAGATCGATCGCCGACACTAGGGCTGCAGCGGATCGCGACTTTCCTCGACCTGGTGCGGCTGAGACTTGTGGCATCTCGAACGGCTCTCCGGCGCGGTGCTGTTCGTATGCGGGACCGTCTCCGGTGGTCTCGTCAACGGGAGGAAAGTGTTCGCGATGGGCTGCTCGGAGGCTATCTCAAACAAATTTACCCGGTTATGGTTTTTTAGATTTTTTGTTTTCTTGTACGATTGAAAATCGATTGGTCTTGCGATTTCGAGCTTCGAAAATGGCTTGGGGATCATGAAATCAAGCCATATCTCCACCTAGTTTGCTGTTAATTTTAGACGAATTTACCTGGTTACGGTTGTTTGGAGCGATTGCGATTTGCGAGCGTCAAAATGGGTTGGGGATCGTGAAGTCAGGCCAAATTTCCCCAGAATTGATCTTAATTATATACCAATTTATCTGGGTACGGTTTTTTGGTTTTTTTTTTTCTTTTTTTTGTACGGTGTGAAATTTGATTGGTCTTGCGATTTCGAGCTTCGCAATATATCTACAATATATGTACAATACTGTTTGTAGTATTTTTGGGCATGTGGTAACCGAGTTACCCGACTCGGGTCGTTCTCAAAGGAAGGCTCTTCGGAGCTTCGTTCACTATCTAGTCGTCAATTCACACAACCGAAAATAAGGTCCTAAACATTCTACTCGCTTGATTGTGGGTTGATTACACTAAATTATTCTAATAATTTAAAAGTTGTATATGTATGATTTATATTCAATATATTTTCGTTATATGATAAAGAAATTTATCGCGAGACATAATTTTTATGTATAAAATCAAATTATATTTAACATAAATTGAATTTTGTTGTTGTTGTTGTGTATATGTATGGTTTTCTATTAAGTAATCTGTTATAATATGTTTGTAAACTATATATATATTTTATGTATAAAAGAAAAAAAGAGGAAGATACAATTTTTGATGGAAGACATTTTTTTCATTGCAACATATACTAAATATATACTAACATAAACGCAATATATACCAGCCGCGTGAATTAAGGAATTCCAGTTGCGCACATATACTGAGTATATACTAACATAAACTCAATATATACCACATGAGAGCCTACGTGAATTAAGAAATTCCAGTTGCGCACATATACTGAATATATACTAACATAAACTCAATATATACCACCTGAGAGCTGCGTGAATTAAAGAATTTCAGTTGCGGGAATTAAGGAATTAAATGAATAAATCACGACACCAAAGGATAACTGATATGGATAGAGGACGTTACAAAAAGTAATTGATATTTAGGCAATCATTTAAATAAAATAGCTTGATTAGGTATATATCCTATTAATTGTTCTAGGAAGGTAAATTGAAAATTCTTTTATTTCATGTAGTATGTGTAAAAATTTCCCTTGTTTATATATGTTCATTTTGGTTAGTGTTATTTGGGTCAAGTTTTTATTTATTCATTTGGATAATTATTTACTTTTCTAACTTATTTTTAAAGAAGTTAATCCCTCTACTTTTAAGCAACGTGGCCACATCACCAACTCTGCCATGTATATTTTTTATTTGCTGCTAGATATTTTCTTTTTTGTTTGAAAAAATATTTCACCGACCTCAAACGTGAATGGCTTTGGATATGAGAAACTACTTTTCTCTCTCTCTTTTTTTAACCTAAATTTCTATCCATTTGATCATCTCGTGTAAACTGGTATATTATAATTTATTTTAATTTCAACTATGTTATCTATTTTAAAAAGGCAAACATATCGGCTTTAAGAAGAAATTGTTGCAGGTCATTTTTTATCAATGATGAGATGTCATTATAAAATTTTAACACCCTTAGAAATATATCTCTATTCATTACAAAATAGGTTGATAGCCCGTACATGCTTAAAATTGTGACAATTGGTGGCCCCTTGTGCTCAAACTAATTACACAGGCAAAACAAATATTTTGTAAACCACTTAATAAGCCTGGTGGATTTTACGACAAATTGTTCATCACATAAATAATGTTTGACCAATTATATTTGATTATAAATACTAAATTGTTCATCACATAAATAATGTTTGACCAATTATATTTGATTATAAATACTAAAAGTTGTGTTTTAATAGTCCTGCGTGGAATCAAATTTTTACCTTATTATTTGTTTATTATATCAATGTTGTGTGAGCATCCTTTTTCGATAGTCTTTTAATGTAATTTTTTATTTATTTATTTAAAATTTGAGAATATCATTTTCAAACATAAATATTTTGGTATTGCACAACCGAGAGATTCCTAGTATAGATAATAGAATGCATTAGACATAACAGATACGGATTATTTGATCATTGCTTGCGTCATTCATAATTTTGCACTTGCAGTGAGGAGAAGGAGCCGCCCGCCACATTATTTAATTTACAAAATGGGAAATGAAATATAGATGAAAGAGAAGCAAATCTTTTGATGTGGTTGAGGAAATTAAATTTAATTAACTGAGGTATTAACAATAATAACGAATTAGATTATTTGATCATTGCTTGCGTCATTATAATTATGCACTTACATTTTTATTTATGCACTTACAGTGAGGAGAAGGAGCCAAGCCGCCCGCCACATAATTTAATTTAGTGAATGGGAAATCATAATCATATATCTAGAAGAAAGAGAAGCAAAACTTTTGGTTTGATGAGGAAATCATATTTAATTTAATTGACGCATTAGTAATAACAATAATAATGAATTAGAAGCTTCCGTTTGGTCAAGAGAAAAGGGAAATTAAGCAAAGCAGTCAAAATTGATAGGGTACGATGCTGAAGAAGATTCTATATTAAAGAATACGAGTACTGTGTTAGGCGACATATATATAAGCAAGTTGGATTTGGAGATAAAACCCACAACCACAAGCAATATAATCACACACATACCGAGCTACCTGATACACAATAATATATCAAGTCAATATTAACACAGGAAAAATTAGTGATCAGAGAGTGAAATTGAAGTGATGATGATGAGTAGTTCAATGCTGTATCCAGCTCTTCTCCTCGCCCTCCTTACCATCTTCCTGGTCAAGTTACTATTATTCCCAAAAAACAAATTTAATGGCAAACTTCCGCCAAGTCCAGCGCAGTCCCTCCCGATCCTAGGCCATCTCCACCTCCTGAAGACCCCAATCCACCGCACTCACCAGAAGCTGGCGGAGAAGGTGGGCCCCATCTTCTCCCTCCGCCTCGGCCACCGCCGCCTCATGGTGGTCGTCTCCTCTCCGGAGCTCGTGGAGGAGTGCTTCGTCAGAAACGACGTCGTCCTAGCCAATCGCCCACATCTCGTGTTTAACAAATACATGGGCTACAACCACACCACCTTAGTCGACTCCTCCTACGGCGACCACTGGCGGAACCTCCGCCGCCTCACCACCGTCGAGGTATTGTCCGGCACGCGACTCAACTCTTTCAACTCAATACGGCACGACGAGATCAGGCTCCTTCTGCAGAAGCTCTACGGGACCTCTGCTTCCGGTTTCGCGAGGGTCGCCCTAAGATCCTGCCTTTCCGAGCTCACTTTCAATAACATCATGAGGATGGTGGCCGGAAAGAGGTACTTTGGAGAGGGTGATGAGGAGGCCACAGAGTTCCGGGAGATGATAGAAGAGGTTTTCAGCTACGGCGAGGTGTCCAACCCGGCTGACTTTATCCCCGTGCTCAGGTGGATCGATTACAAGGGATTCGATAAGAAATTGGGCAAGGTCAGCCGCAAGATGGACGCCATTTTGCAGCGCTTGATTGACGAGCAACGGCAGAGGAGCAAAGTTAATGGCGGCAACACCATGATCGACCACATGCTTTCCCTGCAGGACAAGGAGCCTCAGTACTACAACGACACCATCATTAAAGGCATTATTTCGGTAAATAAAAACTACTAATTCATTTAATTAATTTCAAATTATTATCAACTACAAATTAACCTGAATTCGTTCTTTCAGGATATGCTTCTAGCCGGGACCGACACCTCAGCTGTGACCGTAGAATGGGCCATGTCAGCTCTGCTAAACAACCCCGAAAAACTCCAAAAGGCCAGAATCGAGATCGACAACCTCGTGGGCAAAGATCGCTTGATCAACGAGTCCGATGTCCCCAAACTCCATTACCTTCAACACATTATCTCCGAGACCTTCCGATTGTTCCCAGCAGCGCCGTTGCTTGTACCACACGAAGCATCGGCTGATTGTACCATTGGTGGCTACCACATACCACGTGGCACCATCATGATGGCCAACGCGTGGGCCATCCACAGGGACCCCAAGATTTGGGATGACCCCACCAGCTTCATTCCCGAGCGTTTCGAAGCAGCAGAGGTTGGGCCCACCAAGCTCATGCCTTTTGGGCTGGGAAGGAGGTCCTGCCCGGGGATGGGCTTGGCCCAACGTGTCGTGGGCTTGACCCTTGCCTCTCTCATTCAGGGCTTCGACTGGCAAAGGGTTGACGAGGCCTTGGTCGATTTGACCGAAGGGACTGGGTTATCAATGCCCAAACTCCAACCGCTCGAGGCCATGTGCAGGGCACGTGATGTGCTTCATAATGTTTTTGGTGGGGTTGAGGTTCCCTCAAACATTTGACATCATTCCTCTACAATCCCATGCTCCAGAGCTTGTGTTTTTTGTGTGTTTTTTGTTTCACTTATTTTCGCCTAGTTTCGTCTTTGTGATTTTCCTCTCAATGTCTTTCAAGAGCTTGTGTTTTTGGTTTCACTTGGTTAAAGTCATTTTCCTAGCCTCGTCTTTGTGATTTCCTCTGAATGTCTTTCTCACACATATAGTAGTGAGAACGAATAATTAAGTGTTTGTGTTGTTTGCGCGTCTGTATTTTTAATTTGGTTTATAATAATATCATTTTCTTTGGTTTGTTATTGTTTGCAATTTACTCTCAATCTTTTTCCCCCATACCTATAGTATAGTATAGTGAGAGAGAATAGTTGTTCTCAAACAGAGTATCTTAATGTTGATAACCAGTTACACTAACTTACTTAC